ACTGTCGAACAATTGGAGTCCGAGGAGTCACCGATATTTGGTGTCGCACTGCAACAGGTGCCCGAGAGGGTGACCGATAAGCGATCGCCGGCATACAACGGGGGGCGGGTCTTCGTCCATGGCGCGTCCGCGGACACTGCCGCTGCCTACAAGCAGCAGTTCCAGGCGGATCTCGCCAGCTTCCTGCGCGCCCGCGCCGTCGAGATGAAGGTTGGCGGCGTAATGTTCCTCGTTTGCCTCGGCCGGACATCCATCGACCCGGCCGACCAAGGCGGCGCAGGTTTCCTCTTCGGCGCCCACTTCCAAGACGCTTGGAACGACCTCGTCGAAGAGGCGAGCACTCACTCACACCGAGTTCACGTCTGCTTCAACCGTATCACACGCCACTGATCCGAACTTGTCATGTCTGTCGATCGCAGGGTCTACTGGAGAGCGAGAAGCGTGACAGCTTCAACATCCCCGTGTACGCCGCCTGCCTCAGGGAGTTCAAGGAGGTGGTGGAGGCCGAGGGCTCGTTCTCCATCAACAAGCTTCAGGTCGTCAAGGGAGGCAGCCCGCTGGTGGTCAACCACCCAGAGGACGCCAGTGAGGTCGGGCGAGCGCTCGCTAACAGCTGCCGGTCGGTGGCCGGCGTGCTCGTGGAGGCGCACATCGGCGAACGTCTGAGCGAGGAGCTGTTCGGGAGGCTGGAGCTCCGGGCGGCACGCCATGCGAGGGAGCTGATGGAGCAGATGCAGTTCTTCCACATCGTCGCCTCGCTCTCTCCCTCGCTCCCATCTCATCCCGCGAGCTGACGCTTTCCTGATGAGCCCGTTCATGCGATTCCTTCGATTCATGGAGTACGAGATGACCGTAGAAGCATTCATGCTGTAATCGGACATGCTCATCCAACTGAGCCTGTACATTCCAAAAGACTGAATAAGCTTAAAACATGGGTTTGAGCAAATGCCTGATGAACTAATCCACAATGCAGCGAGAGAATATTTCTGGTATTTTGAAACCGTACAGATATATATATGTAAAAACGGTTTTCTTTTATTTACGCCGACTTCGAGCGAGCGAGCGGGGGAGTTGAGAGAGAGAGAGAGAGAGCGAGAGAGAGCATCGGTTGTCGCCCCGCTCCCACCTCTCTTCCCCCCTTTCCGCCGCTGGGAGCAGCAGCGCCTCGGTGATGTGGCTACCCTTTTCGATTCCGACCATGAAATTTGGTTCTTTCTTGGGGTTTAATCCTTGGAATTAATGGGATTCGCGTCCTGATGATGTGGTTCTGGCATCTTCTAGGGTTTGGCATTAGCTGCTCTTTTGGTCGATTTGGGTTTGGGATTCACAAAATTGATCTGCTTAGATCTTTTGCACTTTGATTTGCAGCCATTGCAGCAGCAGCAGCAGCAGCAGCAAACTGTTGGCACCTATGCACGCAAGGCTTAACAGAGATTGGAACCTGAGAAGGCATTTTCCAGGTACATGACCTTTGAGAACTGAAAGTAGAACATATATCGGTAGAATGTAATTTCTGAGTTCGGTGTTTCCCTGATCGTCGATGTTGCTGGGTGCTGAAAGAATACGAGTCCTCCTATGAAAGCGAATGAATGGTCTAGAGACACTAAGAATCTTCCCTCGACTCTCATGTCAATCAAGGATTTGTCAAGAGATAGTCACCCAGAGAGCTCCATGAGAGTCCCAATAGTGTTCGAGTACTAAGAAGTGTTAAGGTTTTTGTATCCTTCTCACCGCGTGATGTTCGCCTTACATTGTGGAAAGGAAGAGATTGCTTAGCATGAGAGGCTTTATGACCTTGCATATCGATCGAGCCTAACATAGTGGTGGCATTTGCCAAGACCTGGTTGGTGGAGTGGGCTAAGTCGCTTGGCAAGAGAATGGTGCCCTGTTCTATGACCCTACATAGCGTTCAGGGTTACTCTCTATATTCATGGTAGTATTGTAGGGCCTAACGAAATGATAACATTTGTGAGGAGGATAACACCTCGTTGGGGGAAGTGGTGTCCGAACCTTTGACGAGAGAGACTGATGCCTTGTGCAAAGGTGGTTTCTGGACCTCCACCATTGAGAGTACATCAAGGTAAGTCATCTTTGACAAAACACTGAGTCCAGACTTTCCTCCAATTATTACACAATGCTTGCCAATGCTTATATTTTGTGAAGGTGAGATTCCAATCTAAAATTTTTACTAATCAAGTTAATTGGCAACTTTCAGAACATATCGGATAAGATTTGGAACTCTGAATCTTTGATATGTGATTTTTCATATTTAAGATATTAAAAATATATCGGATGAGGTTTGAATCTATTTTTTTAATCTTTTGTAATATTTATTTTATTCACTTGATAAAATTAAGAGGTATCAGGTGGAGTTAGCATGGAGTATCCTATTCTTCATTTTGCATGTAAGGAATTGATGTTTGGACACCTTCTCTCATCAAGTTCTGATGTTACTGTCATTATCATGCAAGTATCTTGTACCAACTAGTAGAATGAAATCACAATCCAGGCTGACCTTTCCACTGGTTATTTAATTTTGGAAATGAAGGCTTGTGAGTTCTTTTTTGTCTTTTTTCTTTTTTTGTTTGTCACTTCTTCAGATCTGTTGATTTTGCAGAAATAATTTTCCAGTTCTTATTATTTGTATGGAAATCCTCCATATTACTTAATTTGTGCATGTTAACATGGATTATATTAAAAAGTGGCCAGAGGGACCTATGTGCACAATGGAAAAGTGTTGTAGGAATTTTCACATATGCAAAGTTTTCAATATTGCAAAGAAACATTTTTTTAATCCAAGTTGATCTTTCCACATATGTTCAAATATGATGTATTTGTCCTTCCACATTTTATACAACATAACATATGTTTTGATAAGACCCTAGGGTTATATCGTAGAAGAAAGAAGGGAAAAGGGATGATCACTTCGAGGGGATCGACCTCCTGGAGTTAGTCTAAAGACTGAATAATATTTCATTCTCTGTCGAAAAGAAACTGTTACATCGCTATTTATAGAGTTCCACCTAGAGTCCACCATGGACTCTTAATAATAAATAAATATTAAATAAACATATATTTGACTCTAACTGAATTAAATAGATTCAATAAACATTATTCAAAAGCTCAAAAAATAAAAGGATTATAATAATTCCTCCCCCTTCAAATCAGCCTTGTCCTCAAGGCTGAGCAGCATCAAACTCGGGGAGTTTCTCTTTCAGTACTTCAGTCATAGGGTATCTGCAGCGTGTCACAACCCATTGATCAAGTAAGTACGGTCTCTACTTCTTGATAGCGTAAGCAATAGGTCGGCTTTTCGGTGTTGCAGTCTTCTAAAAACCCTCTTCATCCGATGGCTAGTGGCAGTTGTGACCTTACCCCCACGTCTTCCTTTTAGGATAATCTGCTTTCCATTAATAATAAACTTCATGATTAGTTTAGAAAAATTTCACAAAACATCACCCAGAGTTGATAGCCATTCAATTCCAAGCACCACTTTGAACTCTTCCAAGGATAGCAAAAAGAAGTCAACAAGCAACTCTTGACCTTACAAAGTCAGCTTAATCTTTGCGCACTTGCTATCACAGGTTAAAATCTGTCCATCGACGACATTTACTTCAAATTTATTACGGTCTTTAATGTGGTAGGTTAATCGGTTGGCAACCTTACCGTTCATAAAATTGTTAGTGCTACTAGTAAAACTGTAACATGTTGATGTTTCAAAGTTCCTCCAACTTTCATAGTTTGCGGGTTAGAGTAACCGGCTAAGACATACACTATATGTATGATAGGTCCAACATCGTCATCATAATCCATACCTTCATGATCGAAGTCCACATTATTAGCTTCCGGTTCCTCCCCAATTGGTTCAATCATAAGAAGTTGCCCTTGTTTACATCGGTCCTCCCTACTCCACTTTTCATCACAACGCCAGCACAAACCCTTCGTTGATCTTTCCTTGAGTTCTTCTCAGGTTAGCCTTAGGGTGTTAGGGTTTCGGTTAAGAATAGATGGGGCGTGTGGCTTGCTGATCATCTATTTGTTGTCAATTCTATTTTGATGATTTTTCCTACTAATTTTTTTCTCATTTAAACGTGCAAATGATATCGCAGCAATCATAGTGCGGGGTTGATGAGCCTTAACTTCACATCGAATATCTAGATTAAGTTTTTCGATGAATGTACCCACCAGTTATCATTCAGACCAATCTCGAGCTTGATTTGACAATCATTCAAATCTGCTATGATATTCCAATACTGTAGAAATCTGACGAATTTTGGCAAGCTGTCCATCAACATTTTCATATTCAGATGGTTCAAAGCGAACAAGAAACCCTCTCTTAAATTGCTCCCATTAGGGGACTCCATGACAAGTTTCGTACCAATAATACTATTGGATTGCATCTCCATATAGCTGGATTGAGGCTATTTCCATCTTAGATTCTTCTAGGGTTATGTGAAAACAAAAATATTTTTCTGCCCTAGAGATCCAACTGATCGGATCTCCATCTTCCCATCTTGGAAATTCCACCTTCATGCGTGGGTAGCTTGTGTCATGTTCTTGGTTTTTTCTTGTGTCTCCAGATCGGTTCAATATAAGATTTGAACTTTCATCTTGTTGAAATTTGCTGAAGCTCTCCAGTAAGCTCTTTTTGAAATCATTAAGTGTTTCTTGCAGTCAGTTCTTAATTCTGATTTCCAATGCTTCGATTTAGGCATTTACTAAGTTGTCGGTAATCATTGTGTAAGACTGCAAATCTGAAATCTTAACTCTTGTTTCTAGTGTTGGGACTAGGGCATCAATCACTACCCTATTCGGTGCTGCTACGATGACGTAGTCGGTGGCAGCACCGTGTGAATGAAGGATTGCTGCGAGGATGCAGGATGTAGCTACGGTCGCTATGTGGAGGGATCGTTGTTGTTGAGGGTTGGGAGGCAGCGATGGTGGTGCGATTGGGGGCAGCGTCGCTGGGGGCTAGTCACTGCGATGGCTGCGACGGTTGAGGACAAGGCTGTTGCGCGGATGGGAGGCAGTGTTGCCTTGTCTCTGTCGCACTGCAAAAGGAGGTGTTGGCGATGCCGAGGGATCGTGGGCAGTTGAGGAAACAACGACGGTTGTAGCGGTCGCTGTCGATGCTGACAACGAAGAGGGAGGAAACAACGACGATCGTAGTTGACTTGTTTCGATCACCGCGAGGTGAGAGGGTCACGCGACGATCGTATTCGACTCTAATTGAACTAAACAGACTCAATAAACATTAATCAAAAGCTTCTGAAGATTCCTCACATGTATTAAAAAATCAATAGTTAATTTTAAAATTTTAAAATATTAAATATGAAAATTTTATGGATATGAAAGTTTATTAGAATTTCATTACAAATGAAAAAAAATATTTTTTTTAAAAAAGAAAGAAGTGAAGACGAGATTTGATCATAAGACATTGCTAAAAACATTAATATAGTGGTAGTGTACAAGATTCACTTATCAAAATCTTATTTAATAATTTTTTTGATTTAAAATATTGATCTAGTGATAGTGTATAAGTCCTGTTTGTAAAAATAGAAGTTTCAAAATATCATCTAATAATTTTTTTTGTACTAGAAGGTTCAAAGCACCAATATATTTATGTATGGATGCCGACCCGCTTAACTAAATGTAAATTTTTTATACATAAAATACTAATTTAGCAGTATAGGAGGCCCACTTATACGAAAGTTATAAGGATTCAAAATCTCATTTGATAAATTTTTAATTATTAAAAAAAAATTAATGGTAGTGAAAAAGATTCACTTGTAGGTGAGGAATCTAAATTTTCAATCAATAGAACACAATAGCTTATGCTTAAGATTTAAAATTTTACAGGTATATAATATACATGCTATATTTAGATCAGTCCTTTCTCATGGTATAGGAATGAGAGAAGCAGATACTGTTGGGGTCCTCAGGAATATTTAGATCAGTCCTTTCTCATGGTATATATTTAGACTTGCTGTCGGGGGCGCATCCCCTCGCCTCCAACGGTTAGTTCTTCTCCCCTATTTTGTTCTGCCTCTCCTCCTTTCTTATTTCATGTGCCCATACATGTAACGAAACAACGGATAAGCATAAGAAAGAGAATATATTTAAGGAAGTAGTTATAGTTTTGATATGCTTATGAAAAAAAGACTTTCCAAACACTTACGAAGAATTGAATCTGGGCGAATTTTTTCTCAACGGAAGAGAAGGGGATTAATATAGAACAAGTAGACTATTTTCAAAAAGGAAAACTGTTCATTTACTATTTTTATTAATTTTTATATTTTATATTTCTTTTAATAGTCCCACATTGTTAGTTAGTTATTTTTGAAGACGGAGAACTAACATAAATACAATCTATAAAATTATAAAAAAATATTTTTAAGTATTGCAAAGATTTCTCCTCATTTTCAAGTAATAATTTTTCATTTTCGTTTCCGTCCTGCGGTTCCGACACACCCAACTCCAAGCCTAGGCCTTCAGTGCAGTTTATCAGAAGATGGCCATGGCTGTCAAGGGAGAAAACCTTGTGGTCACGAAGCTAAAGCTCGAGAGGATGCTCAGCATGAAAGGTGGCAAGGGGGAGACCAGCTATCTGAAGAACTCACAAGCTCAAGTACTGATGTCTTCTTCTTGCCCCGTGTTGTTCCTTGGAACCTTCTCTGCCTTTGTAAGATGAGACATCAACAATGGAGCTAGCTAAATATCTGTGCTTTTGTAGGCTCGCCATGCACGAGCCATGCTGCACTTCCTGGAAGCAACGCTGAGCGCGATGAAGCTTCCCTTGCTGGAGGACGGCGGCACGTTTGCCGTCGCAGACCTGGGCTGCTCATGCGGCACCAACACGCTCTTCCTCATGGGCATCATCGTCAAGCACGTATCGAAGATGTACGCT